CATTCCAATTAGTAGACGTAATAAATCCGATGCTAAACAATTGCTTGGATACCTTCCTATCTTAAAAGCAAAAGATCAATCTGAAAGACAATCCGAAGACTTCAAAAAATTAATATGACTAACCTTCCATAATTCTATTAAATTTTTATTAGATCCTTTATTTATAAAAAATGGTATTGATCTAGAAATTGGTGCTCAAACAATTTGTTTCTTTCCTCATATATCAACAATTATATGTGATTGGCTGGAAGCCGTCACATTTAGTCTAGTATACAAATCAACTAATTTGAACTTTCCTTGTCATTTTTTTTTAACTTCGAAGACATTGTTAGTAAATACCAATCTGCCTAATAACTGTGTAACTCTTCGTAATAATGAAAATATACAAGAATTCTTTTATAATAATACTGAACAGGAAGTGAGTTTTAAAAATATCCCTAATTATTTTTAATCTTTATCAAGTATAAATGTATATACAGCAACAGTTCCGAACAAAATGTACCATTTGGACTTGGGACTATTTCACTATCAAATAGAATTCACTCAAGCACTTCTTCATAATACCAAGTGTGACCTTCAGCACATTTCCAATAATATTAATCTCTGAATTTGGTATATTTCTTAGAAAGGCACTCATTACCATGTGATTGTTGCATCTCTTCAAAATTTAACCTAAACCACATTTTCCACACTGTGGGGACACCATAAAACCAGTTTAAATAATTGTGTAACACGTTGATCAAATCTAGCACAAGTTAAAAAACTTGTTTTTTCTCAAAAAATACAGAAACTGTTTATTAAATTGATTTATCTAAAAACAATTGGAAATAATGTCTATCGTAACGGTTTTTGTACAAAGTGACAGTGCTTCTTCAGAAAGAAGATTCGACAAAGGTCTTACTATCCAGCAGTTAAAAGTATTTATTCCCTTTTTTTTTTTGGAATTCCAATTTATAACTCTATCTAACTAACTTTCCAACTCTATCTAATTCTATAGACAAAACTTGAACCTATCACTGGTGTGCCAGCTAATTCTCAATCATTACAATTATATAACGGGGATACACTCGTAGCCACTCTTGAAGGAGATGATTACATGTTGGGTGCTTTTCCTGTAGATAATTTCATGATACTTCGGGTTTGTATTTTTTTAAAAAATTTTTAAAAATTAAAAAGTAATTATTATAAACATATAATATAATATAAAATAAAAAATATATTTTTTAGGTTATCGACACTAATCCTAATAGTCTCAAAAATCAATATACTGATGTGTCACTTGTGGAAAAGTACGTAATGCCAGATGAGGATTATTCAAAACGGAAAGGTGAATCGGATTTTTTTTTTTTTTTAACAATTTTTTACTTTAAAAATCATATTATTAACATTTTTAACGTGCTATCTTTTTTTTTTTATTAAAATAATTTTAGATTCGGTTCTTGCTTTTAAACAACGTAATAAATTTGGAAGATTTGGTGATGCGAATTCTTCTTATTCAGAATCAACTTATACTTATGAAGATGAAGCTAAAGATATCAAAGTTGGTGATCGTTGTGAAGTTGATTTTAGTGAAGGTAGTGAAGAAGGTCTTAAAAGACGAGGTGTTGTTAAATATGTTGGTAAGTTGTTTTTTATATAATAATTTTTAATTATTTTAATTATTTAATTATTTTAATTATTTTTAATTATTTTAATATTTAACTTATAAATTATTAGGTGAAACCAAATTCAAACCAGGTTATTGGATTGGTGTACAATATGATGAACCAGTTGGTAAACATGATGGATCGTAAGTAAATTAATCTTTAATATTATAATATTTTAGAATATTTTAATAATAATATAAATATTTAATATTTAATAATTTTTAATCAGTGTTCAAGGTGAAAGATATTTTACCTGTTCAGATAAGTATGGAGCTTTTGTTAGACCTAATAAAGTTAAAGTAGGAGATTATCCTGAAGAAGAACTTGAAGAAGAAATGTAATAAAATAAAATTGAATAGAATATAATAAAAACAAAATAAGGTAAGTAAATATTTGATACATAATAAAAAAAATCTGGAGGTAAGTAAATTGATTTTTATTTATTTTTTTATTATTATCTGTTATCAAAAAAATTAGCAAAAATAAATAAAAAGTTATTTTCCCTTCCTATTCATCTTATAATTCTTTATAAAAACAGTTATAAATATAAATAAATAATTTAACAAGATAATTTAAAGATTTAAAGACAATATGTATATTGTATTGTTATATAATTTCTAGCATTTAATCTTATCTGTTATTTTTGATGATATTGTAAATAGCATATGCTTATGTGTCACATGTTAAATTTACCACACATCCGCCCATCATTGTTTAATCGATAATCGAAATTTGTGCTGTATATCAAAATATTTATGAGTAAAGGAACAGTTTTACTTTTAAAAGAAAGAAAATCTTCTGACGATAATTCTTTTCAAATTTCTGACGAATATGAAACCAAATTCTCTTCATTCACTTATAAATGCATATTTCTGCCGGTGTTATCACATGATCTATTAAATATAGAAGAGTTGACAAAGATATTAAAAGATGGTCCTGAAAAAAAATATTGGGGGTTTGTGGTTACTAGTCAAAGAGCTATTGAAGGTTTAAAACTTGCTTGGAACAAAGCTTTTAAAGCTAATTGTGAATCATTTACTATTGGTGGCAAGTGAAAATTATTTGTTTTATTATCTAAAAAAAAATCATAAAGATTCTATGTATTAAAACTTGATTCATCCTTTATTACTACTACTAGATCAAGAAAAGATAACAACATTATGGAAGAATTTACCATTTTTTGTAATTGGTAAAGCAACTTCTGAAGCGATGAAAGATTTAAAATTTAATAATATCTTAGGTCCAGAAGCTTCCAAATCAGGCAATTCTCAATTACTTGCAGAATACATAATTCAATTTGTAAATAATAATAATAATAATAATATTGCAGAATCATTAATTCCAATAAAAAAGATGTCGCTCTTATTTCTGGTAGGTGATAAACGACGTGATGAACTTCCATCAAAATTATCTCAAGCTGATATTAAATTAGATGAACTTTTGGTTTATGAAACAAAACAACGGGAAGATTTTTTGATAGAACTTGATAAAATCATCAAAGAACATAAAAAAATAAATTGGGTGATATTTTTTAGTCCTAGTGGAGTAGATGTGGCATTAAATAATCTTCAAAAATTAGAAATTTGGAATGAAATAAAAGTTGCAACTATTGGGAAAACCACAGGAAATTATTTAGTAACTAAAGGCATAAAGATTCATGTGATCTCCCCAAAGCCAGAACCAGAAATATTAGTACAGAGTATTGACAATTATGAAATTTCTTTACATTCTACTTATTAATATTTATTTAATTTTTATTATGAATAAAATTGTACTCTGAACAACATTTCGATTGATACCAAATATTTTTTTATCATTTTTTATTACACAAGTAATTCTTTATCATAAAAAAAAAAAAAAAATTTAACTCTTAAAAATCCTGGGTGAATTATCACTCTGTCAAATTTATATCATTATTTTTTGACTTTATCCTGATTTCTTCTTTAAGTGATGATGAAAAATTAAAATTGTAAGGAGAAACTTCTATTGAAAATGCAAGATCTTTCAATGTAATCGGTGGAGAAACATTATTATTCTCCTCATCACCTTTTAAAGCATTATTATTCCGGACTTTTTTAATACAGTTATGTATAATATTTTTGGTGTGAACCTTATTAGATTGAATATATGAATAAATTAAATATATGAATAAATTGAATATATGAATAGATTGAATAAAAGTAAAAAATATATTCATAAAAATCAATTTCTAAGTTTTTTTTTTTTTACCTCTAATGCATGAAGCATTAAAGATACACAATCTTCCTGAATGCCTCCAGTTAATTCATGATTTAATGCAATTTCCGTCATACGTTGGTAAATTTCGTTATAATCCGGAAACTCTCTTATTAAAATCGTCTCATTTTTTAAACATTTTCCTTTTTTATTATTGGAATCATGTTCTCGATTATTTTTAATATTCTATTAATATTAATATTAATATTAAAATTAATGAGAATTAATATTAAAGATAATTATTTCCAATTTAATTAATCATTAAATTTAATAAATTTATTAACAAATATATTTAAGTACCTTCAAAAAACAGTGTAATTGATCCCTATCTTCTTTATCCATAGATTTAAATATATCCTTTAATGCTTTATATTGTGTTGAACTATTATCATCATCTTTCATTAATACACGAGTTCGTTTTTGAATATCATTCTGATTTTTCTTATCTGAAACATTATTAGATATTCTCTTCTTGTTTTTATTTATACTGGCTTGAATGAACTTTTCGTGAAGATATTCTAATATCCGAATAATATTTTGTATTTTTATCGTGAATTGTTTCCATCATTGATAAAAATATTAGGTTATCCTGGTGCATGATGTTTTTTTTAGAGTGATGAGAGCCGAAATATTCAAATAAGAAAAAAAAAATGTCAAATTTTTTTCTTTTTTTGTTATTTTATAACTTACCATGTCCTTGGGGTAAAAATAAATTTGCCCAAAAGTCAAGTTCCATTCTATTTATTTTTCCTTGAATGAAACTTTGAACGTGATTCCAGTATTGTTCCTTGTTTTCACCCAAAGTGTTGTCAAGTTGTGTCTTCCAAGCGATAGGATCAAAGTTATCTGGTGTATTAGAATTCATTAGTAAATTTTAATAAATTGTGGGATCTATGATATTTGATATTTTATATTTTATATTAGATGGTGACGACCAATCGAATTCTTTTAATTCTTTTTGATTTTTATATATATATGTAAATCTTTTTAATATTTTTAATCGAAAAAATGGATATTTCAAGTTCACTTTTAAAAGAATCCGAAGTTTCTTCTGAAGAACAAGAGAATGTCTTCATTTCTAAACAAATTCAAGCAAAGAATAGGAAAAAGAAAAAATCTGGTGGCTTTCAATCCATGGGTAATTTCTTAATAAATATTTATTTATTCCTATTTATTATTATTATTATTATTATCAATTATTAAAAAAATTCTTGTATATTAATTATTAAAGGATTAAGTTACCCGGTTTACAAAGCTATATTACATAAAGGATATAAAGTTCCAACACCAATACAACGTAAAACGATACCATTGATCATGGATGGAAAAGATGTTGTTGGAATGGCAAGAACTGGGTCAGGAAAAACTGCCGCATTTTTGGTACCAATGTTAGAAAAACTTAAAGCACATTCTGCTAAGGTTGGAGCACGAGCAATTATATTATCACCTTCACGAGAGTTGGCTTCTCAAACTCGAAAAGTATGTTCAGAGCTTGCTAAATATATGGATTTGAGAAGTTGCGTATTTGTTGGTGGTGACAGTTTAGAAGACCAATTTGAAATGTTTTCTTCTAATCCCGATATGTGAGTTTTATTTATATGACTTATTAACAATTTTGGGTAAATAACTGGTAATAACTTAATAATAATAATAATAATAATAATAATAATATTATTATTATTATTATTTTATAGAATTATAGCAACTCCAGGTCGACTTCTTCATTTAATTGTGGAAATGGAATTGGAACTTAAAACTGTTGAATTTGTAGTATTTGATGAAGCTGATAGGTAAATTCTAAATTATTGTTCAGAAAGATTAAAACGATTACTATTATTTTATTATTTTAATCTAATTTTTATTTTTATTTTAATTTTAGATTATTTGAAATGGGATTTTCTGTTCAATTACATGAAATTTTAAATCGATTACCACAATCTCGACAAACTATGCTTTTTTCTGCTACTTTACCTAAAACTTTAGTGGATTTCGCTAAGGCCGGACTTCAAGAACCAACTTTAGTTCGATTAGATGCTGACAGTAAAATAAGTACAGATTTAGAAGTATGTACCATATTTAAATTTCGAAATAAATCTATTGGTTATTTTCAATTAGAAATATATTTTATCTATTTTATATATATATATATATATATATTTTTTATGTTTAGATGGCATTCTTTCCTGTGAAACAAGTTGATAAAGAAGCCGCTTTATTATATCTTTTGCATGAATTAATTAAATTACCTGTAAATTTAAATCCTTTGGTGACAGAAGATATTACTTCAAAAAAAAACAAAAATTTCAAAGGAAATAAAAATTCTTCAAAAACGGGACATCATCAAACCATTATATTCGTTTCAACAAAACATCATGTTGAATATGTTTCATCTCTTTTGAAATTATTTGGTTATCAAATTTCTTATATTTATGGATCTCTCGATCAGACTGCTCGAAAGAATCATATAAATAATTTTCGAACTGGTCAAACCGATATCTTGGTTGTGACAGATATTGCTGCTCGTGGTATTGATATCCCAATCATAGAATATGTTATTAATTACGATTTTGTAGATAGTAGCAAAATTTTTGTTCATAGGGTAGGGAGAACAGCTAGGGCTGGTAAACGAGGATGGGCCTATTCTTTGATAACACCTGAAGAAGTGAGTTATACTTTATATTTATTTTATTTTTTATTTATTTATTTTTTTTTATTTATTTTTTTTTATTTATTTTTTTTTATTATTTATTTTTTTTTTTTTATTTTTATTTTTTTATACTGTTCAAATATTTTGTTAATTATAATGTACTTTACAAATAAATATTCAAATATAATTATTTTTAGTTTCCATATTTGTTAGATCTCCAGCTTTTTCTTGGTCGTCGCTTATTGATTGGTTCAAATGAAACGATAACACCTGATTATACTTCTGATATAACTTTTGGAAGTTTCCCTCCTAATTCCTTTGATCTATACAAGGAATGGGTAAAAGGAAAGTTAGGAGGTTCCAATGATCTTCAATCTATGTATGAAGTGGCAAAAAATGGATTCAAGTTATTTTGTAAATCCAGAACATCAGCTGCTCCAGAAAGTTATAAAAGAGCCAAAGAAATCATTGATCAAGAAAATTATCATGATGTGCATCCTCTTTTTGGTTTGTATTATTTCATTTTGAATAGGAATTTGGTAAATTTTATTTTAATATATATATATATATTTTTTTAAAAAAAATAGAAAATCAAATTGACGTTGGTGAAAGAAATCGATTAAATTTTATAAATACTATTTCAAATTTTCGACCGCAAGAAGTTAGTTTTTTTTTCTTTACTTAATTACTTAATGGATTAAAATGAATAAAAATATTTTCGCATTTAATTTAGACGATTTTTGAAGTGGGTAGCCGTGGTAATAAAAAGGCTTCCCTAGCATCCAATATAATGAAACAACGTAGGGAATCAGTAACAAAAATAATCGACGCTCATAGATTTTCCAAGAATTCAACTATTGATACAGGATTCACTAATAATTCAAGCATAATAAATTCTGATGAGGTGAGGTATATTATTTCTTATCCAAATAAATTTAGTTACTAATAAAAAAATCTTTTTTGAAATTTATTTCTTTTTAATTTTTTTTTTTTTTTGGAATTTGACATAATTCATAACCAACGTAAAATAGTCAAAATCTATTGATGGTAGCAAGAAGCGAAAAATTGATAACAATACAAAAAAAAGTAAGCTTGCATATAAACATATATATGTACATTTTTTTTTTTTAATTAATTTATTTTATTTATGAATCAACAATTTTTTTAAAAAATTTGTTATTTAAGGTAAAAAACAAAAAAAAGATCATTTTCGTGATGAACAATATTTTATTTCTCATTATCAAAAAGACGCAAATACAGAAAAAGGGTTTGTAAAAATTAAAAAATTTTGTATTCATATTTTTTTATCAATTTATAATCTTTTATAATCTAACTTCTTTGGCACATTCTATTGGGCAGGTACGCTGTTACTAAAGGAATGTCATTTGCCGAGGAATCAAGTAGGGTCGTAATGAATACTCAAGATGATGAACTTATTAATATTAACCGTAAGAAAGGATTAAGATGGGATAATGGGAAAAAAAATTTTGTCCGAGGTGATGGGATAGGTTCGGATAATAAGAAATATATTAAAACTGAGAGTGGAGCGAAGATACCAGCAACATATAAAAGTGGAAGGTAATTAATAAAATTAATAAAAATTTGGGGTACCAAAAATTAATATGTCAAATTATATCAAAAATAAATTTTAATTATTATTGTTATTATTACTATTATAGATTTAATGATTGGCAACAACATAATAAGTTTAAAATTCCACGGGTCGGTGAAGATGAACTTCCATCTCAAAAATTAAATCGTAGACGATTCAAACACAATAAGATAATGAAACCAAAACCTTTGGATCCTTTCGCCATAAATTACGAAAAGAAAAAACGAAAATTTTTGAAAAAATCAGAAAATGGTGGTGATGTTAATGATATTTCATTAAAAAGTCAACAACATAATTCTAAAGTCAACAAAGAGCTAAAAACTATTGATCAGATTCATAAGCAAAGAAAATTAAAAGAAAAGAAAAAAGAAAAAAATGCAAGACCCATCAGAAATAAAAAAAAATCGACCAAGTAATAATTTCTTATAATTTTATTTTATTTTAATTTTAATAGATTCGTACCCCAAAATAATGTATTTTTTTAAAAAAAAAAAAAAAAATAATTTATAAAATACAAGTGTCAAAATATCTTTCTCCAAAAAAAAGTTCAAGTTGTCATTTTTTCTTTTTCTTTCTCTTGGTTTCGTTCCTTCTGATTTAAATATCTCTCACATTTTTTCTTTAACTGGGTTTCAGTAAGTTGATATATATTGAGTTTTATATCTTTAAACATTGCATGATAGTCATTTCCGTATTTGTTTATCATTACTTCGCAGAAAAGTTTATCTCCCTCAGATTGATATTGTTCGCGTTTGTAAAAATTTGCCGCTTGTTTCTCCAGTGCTTTTTCAAAAATTTAAGTAAACTTAAATGATTTCTGACTTTTTTTTTAAAAAAATTATTAATTATAATTTTACAAATTAAAAAAAATGGAACGAACCTTTAACAACATCTGTTTTCGCTGGTGCAGGTGGAATAACAGTATCAAATATTTCCTCTTCATCAAGTTCTTCACCGATTATCACATTAATTACATTTCCTTGTTCGTCACGTTCAATAATACCTTCGTCGGGACCAAGAGTTTTTTTTAATTCTTCTTTATCAATTGGTTGTGGATCTTCTAGGTCTAACATTTCAGTACCGCCCGAGACACCATTAAGATTATTCACAAGGCCAAGGCGTTGATAACTGATTAAAAACTACAAAAAATTAGAGATCCTATTCAAATAATTTACCCTTCGTAATAATACTGACTTTTGACGGAGTGTAGCCTTATTGTCCCAATTCGCAGCTATAATTGGATCACTCTATAATAAAGTGTAAATCGTAAACCAAACATTTTGAACGCGAGTTAAACTATGTAAATTATGTAGAATACATATATATATATGTGCGTGTGAAAAAAATTACTTTGACGCGAAATCTTTTAAAATGCTTATTCGAAGTTTTACGTGAATTTTTTAAAGAAGGGTTACGTATTTTGGTGCGTTTTCGAGGTCTTGCCATTATTTTTCAGATTTCAAAGGTAAAAAAAAAAAAAAAAAAAAAACGTAAAAAATTTAAAATTTAAAATAATTTTTTAAGCTAACCTCATTTATATTTGTACTCCCAAGAAGAAACTTATATCAAAACTAGCATAAAAATCTGTTGGTTTTTCTTTAATGACGCACCAATCGGGAATTCGAGGTCTGTTGATATTCAAAACTTTTATATTTAAAAATTTACATTCAGTCTTTTATGTTAAAATCATTTGTTCAAAAGACTCAATAATATGGTTTTTTATTCATTTAGTATCACAAGAATTAGCTGATTTGTTTACTAATGCTGTCGCGAATGGAGATTTGAGAATTATACGAGTATCTATTATTAATGGTAATAAATTGAAATATCAACTTAAAATTGCGATCAAAACAGCTAATTTCATATAAATTAATTACCAAATAAGAATCTCTGGTTTCGAATGGAACGCAAAATGTAACTGGGCTATGGGATTCTGGTGAGATATTAATGAATTATTTAGCAATTATAATTTATAATAATTAACATTAATTATTCAAGTTTTTTTTTTTAACCAGATTTTGCGAAAGTAAGGGAATTTTTGGATGAGGCAAACCCATGTTACATTCTTTACCGACTTGACTCTAAATCTTCATCAGGAAATTATGAATGGCTATTTTTAGCTTACGTTCCTGATAACGCGAAGGTAAATAGTAATTCTGTTATATATTAGAATATTATATTCTTATTATATTTTTTTTAGTTAGGCATGATGATAATCAATTTTAACCAATTTTTAACATATGGCGCAATTAATAGGTCAGAGACAAAATGTTATATGCTTCGACTCGTGCTAGTTTGACCAAAGATCTTGGGGATACTCGGTTCGTGGACTCCATGTATGGTACTGCAATAGTGAGTTCCAAAAAATATTGTTACAATACTAATTAGAATTTTTTTAAGATGTTTTCGAGAATTACTTACAGATATATATATATATTTATTTATTTAGGAGGAATTTTCACTTGAGGGTTACCAGAAACATAAGCAACATCAACAAGCTGAAGCCCCACTTACACAACGCGAAAAAGAATTAGCTGAAATCAGAGTTGCTGAAGTAGATTAAAATTTTTATTTAATTTCTGTTATTAATTAATTTCATTTTTTTTTTTTTATGGTGATTCAAAATTTTCTTTATTATTATTATAGGCAAACGCAAATTCATATAGTACTTCAGCACGAAAATCTCATATAACTGGAATTGCTTTCCCTATATCTGATGAAGCAATAAATGCTATAAAATCATTAGGGAAGGAATCTAATTTCGTACAATTGGTATTCTTGCTTTACTGAATTGATATCATTTTTATGTGATTATTAATGGAAAGAATTTTAATAACGCTTTATATATATATATATAGTCTTTGGATATAGCTAATGAAAAAATTTTGTTAGCATCAGCAGATAAAATTGAAATTGACGATTTAGCAAAATCTTTACCTACTGATTCACCAAGGTTTTCCTTTTTTGCATATGATCATAATTTCGAAGGACAAAATTTTGAATCAATCGGTAATTTATTTAAAATATATATTTTATATTTATTTCTTTATTAAACTAATATTTTCAAAAATTTTTCCGTTTTTTTTTTTTTTTAGTTTTCATATATACTTGTCCAACATCTTCCAAAATCAAGGAACGTATGTTATATTCGTCTTGTCGTGGATCAGTAATTGCACTTGGAGAAAGTGAAGCTAATCTCACTATTGATAAAAAAGTGAGTATACAAATATAAATGATAAAAAAAAATTGTTGTTTTTTTTTCTAAAGCATATTTTGAATGAAATTTATGAAATTTACAATATTTGCAATATTTGTAATTTTAGTTGGAAACAAATGATCCTAGTGACCTTACTAAATCATATATCATGGGAGAGTTGCACCCAGTCTCCGAAACTCCAGTGAAAATGTTTTCTCGACCCAGACCTCCAGGAAGGAGAGGACCGGGAGGAGTTTAGGAAACAAATATTTTAAATATCAATTTCTAAGAAATATTTTTTTGACAATAGATTTCAAATTCATTTTATTTATTTATTATTTAAAATGGTTGTTTTTTTTTGTTTTTTTTTTTTTATATGTTGAAATTACATAAAACATTCATTATAAAAATTATTATTATCAAAAGAAAAGTTTTATTAAGAGATGATAAATATTTTTTCATAATTCCATATTTTACCTTATAAAGCTGTATAAAATAAATAACTAATACTTTCACCATTATGAGTTCTTCTAATGGCCTCTGCCAAGGTTGCAGAAACATCAATTATTTCAAGTTTAGTACTTTGATGTCGATTTTCTAGTGGAATAGGGAATGTATTAGTTACAACCAACTAAATATTTAAATTTAGTTAAAGTAAAAAGAAATTAAAGTTAAATTAAAGTTTAAATTATGTAAGTTTAAATATGGAAAAATTTGTAATTGTGAGAATTACCTTATGTATACTTTTACATTTTTCAATCTCTATAAGACTATCATTACTTAAGATTCCATGAGTAGAAATCACGTAAACACGTTTTGCATTACATCTTTTCATTAAATGTTCAGCTGCAGCTATGAATGAACCTGCTTTGTCAATCATATCATCCTATAAAATAAATTATAAATAAAGAATTCATGTGAAATTAGCCGAGTCACTTAAAATTCACTTTAAAAAATGAAAAAGAAGAAAAATTGGGAAATAAATACTCACAACTATAAATGCTACTTTCCCTGCAACATCACCAACAAGGGTAATAGTATTACTGCAATTTAATTCATTTTCTTCTGAGAAAAGAGGTTCTTCTGAAAATGACGTAGAGGAACTCGGTAAATCATCTTCGTCATCATATTTTTTGTCATTAATAATTGCAAAAGTAATATTATTGCTTGTTGTATTAGATGTCTGAAAAGAAAAATTTTTATCTTCATCGGATATCGATATCGATTCTTCGGTTGATACTTCATTTACAGGTGTTACAGTTGTGGTTGAATTATTCCGTAACACTCTTGTACGATCGGTATGAATGAGAGCAAAATCGATTTTAAGTCGATCGGCAAGAGAAGTCACTCTGATAATGCATTGTATAAAACAATACTATATATAAACCATTATTATTAAAATTAAATTTTCAAGGTAGAAAAAAATGAAATCAATTTTCAAACCTTTTTGCTCCACCCGCATTCTTACTAACTACGACACCGGTAGAATATTCAGGTACGGAATCTTGAATCCATTTAGCAATTGAAGGTTCAGCATATAAATTATCAACTGGTTTATTAAAAAAACCTTGCATTTGTGAAGCGTGAAGATCCATTGTGATAATATGATCCACACCGGCGACAGAAAGTAAATTGGCTACCACTTATGAATATATAATATAATATATATATATATATATATATATATTAAATCAATATCTTTGATCAATTTGAAAAAAAAATTTATGATCAACCAGTACAAAATTTGAATTAAAAAAAATGTCACACTTTTTGCTGTTATGGCCCCGCGATATTTCTTTTTTTTACTTTGTTTCGAATATGGAAAGTAAGGCATTACAGCTAAACGTATTTAAAATTATAAAAAATTATTAATAATTTATTCATTTATCACTAACACAAATTGTATTAAGACTTTTTTTTTTACCAGTAATTCGACTCGCTGAAGCACCCTTACAAGCAGATATCATGATCAATAATTCCATTAAATGATCATTAATATTTCTAGAACCTGATTGAATAATAAATACGTCTTCATTTCGAACTGAACAGCCTGTAATGTAATAAAAAAAATTTTGTTTAATAATATTTATTAGTGCATATTTAAAGGTGGTAAAGTGAATTTTATTAAAAAAAACCGAAACAAAATATAAGAAACTCTTACCTATTTTAACAGAAGTTTCTTGATTACCAAATTTCTTCAATGCAACTGGAGCTGGAGTTATTCCTAGTCTTTCACATATATGTTCTGTAAGTTCAGGGTGAGAAGTACCAGAAAAAACCTTTGCACGCCTCATAATTATAAAGAATTATTTAAAGTTAAACTGGTTTCCTTTTATACTTTTTCATCGCGAATCCATCAGGTGATAGTTTTGTCTCATGATTTCGATTATCTGAAAGTTTGTTTGTTAAAAACTTTCCCCCAATCCCAAAGAACCTTTTTTTTTTCTTTAAACTTGTTTTTTTTATTATTATCAGACTAACAAACAAACAACTAAAAAGTTTACTATAATTAAATCAAATTGGCGTCTGGATACGGTTTAGCAGGGGGTCGGGGTAGATGTTTTGTTTATTGGCAGGAATTTCGTAAATGCTATGCAATGGCTGATCAACCCCGAGAATGCGTTTTACAACTAGAAGATTATATGGAATGTTTACATCATAAAAAAGAGGTATTCAATATAAACAAAATTGATGATACACATTATTATTGTAATTTTTTTGTAATTAAAAATGATATCGGTATTGGTATTAACATTTTTATAAAAACAGAAAGCGCGTGCACAAGCAATTAAGAATGAAGAATTAAAACAAAGAAAACAAAGAAAAGAAGCTGCCGAGGTAGCACGTAAAATCACGGAGTCAAATGCAAAAAGCGATGTAATGAGAATAGGAATTTTGAGTAATAATGATAATAATGATCAAAAGACAACGACACAAAATACAAATGCACATTAAAAAAATATATATTTTTAAATAAATAAAATTTTTTGATAAATTTTGTTATACAAAATAAAATTTTTACATTAATTAACAAAAATTTTGATATTCAAGTGCAAACGATCAAATATTTATAATACGAATCATTTTGAATAATGTATTCAAACAAGGTCATTTATATTAAACGAATATCCTGAAGAATATTTAGAATATTTAAATTTTAATCATTTATACTTTTCCTTTACCCTTTTTATCAGTTTCTTGATTATTTGAAGATTCTTCAATAATAGTTGATTCCGTTGTTGTAGTTGTAGGTGATTCTGTTGTAGTTGTAGTTGTAGTTGTAGATGATTCTGTTGTCACTGTAGATTGTTCTGTTATATGTGGTGGAGGAAGCGCGCTCACAGCCTGAGTCAGTGTACTAATAATATTGTATACTTGCCCTTGAACATCTTGCAACAACCTAAGTCTTTCTGTAAGAGCTTCTCGTGTATTCGTCTCTAAGAGACGAATCTGTTCTTCTGATAACTGATTCAGTTGTGGTGGTGCATTATAATTGCCTTCTGGGTTCGTAGATCCATTATTCCTTACAGGTAAAACAGGAAAAAGTGGTATTAGACCAGGTGGTGCAGGTGGAATATATGGTTGATATGATGATTGTGGTGCTCGCGATGTTGACGTTGAAGGACCTTGCGTGGTAGTAGTTTGCGGTTGTGATTCTGTAGGAGGTTCTTCCTGAATTTAATTAAGTTTATTAGAAAGGAAAAATATTTAAAGATTATAGCTCATATATAAATTCTTAAAAATACCTCATTTGTTGTTTGGTTTGAATTGCTTTGTGTAGTGTTTTGTGAAGATTGAGACGTATTTTGGTGTGTGGAGTTTTGATTTGATAATCCATTCGCTTGATCTACATTAGGTTCATTTATATTTGCAGGTGGAATAGGAGGGCCCGGCCATTGTCCTTGCATTCCTGGAGGTGGAAATAATGTAAATCCTAAAATTGGGTTTGCTAAAAAACCGGGAGGGTTGGCAATAGGAATTCCAGGTAATTGAGGTTGAGGTTGAAGCTGAGGTTGTTGCTGGACATTACGTTGGACGGGACGTGTTGGTGGTTGAGTAGGTTGTTCTTTTCATAAAAATTAAAAATAAAATTAACTTTATATGAAACTGTTTATTCATGAAAAAATTTATTTTTTTCAATTGTTAGCAGACACTTACGTTCCGTCAAGACAGGTCTTCGACTTAAATACAAACATTTGAATATTAGAATATTGAATAATAATTAATATGAAAAAAAAGGCCAAATCACTAAATTATTACCATGTAGGACAACTCTGTTGTCTTTCTAACCAACTACGCAAACAATGAAAATGAAAAATGTGTCCGCAAGGAAGCTTTTTCGGTAAATCTCCTAAACCACTATTTCCTGGCCTATTTTGTCGTCCATTATTTCCCTGTGCATCATTATTGGCAATATTAGCAGCAATCATCTCTTCCCGACAAATAATGCAGGTTCGATCACTTAAGTTTTCAAGTTCTTCATCAGTTGCATTCGGATAACGTTCATTCATGTTTCTGGTAGCACGACGATATCGGACAAGATGTCCACATTTTTGAAGAAAAGAACGAAGCGTGACATAAACGTCACGTATAATATGTAAAGGTATTCCATAATAAGTGAGTATAATTGTGAAAAATATTAAGTAGGTAATCAATTTGAAGAAATCTATAATCAAAGAAATGATATAAAAATGGATTATAAATCAAATTTAAATATATAATTATCATAAGTCAAATATGTTAAAAAATTTTACCTGTCACAAGTTCCAAATAAAAAACATATATTGACTTATTTTCCCATGGTTCTTCTCGTCTCATATCAATTATATTCAGAATATACTTAAAGACTGTAGAAACTATAGTAGCTCCGAGGATTGAATACTAAAATGAGAAATAAAAAAATCAATATTTGACTCGGGAAAATGAACTTTAAAGAAAATAAGAAAAAAAAAAACCCCGACTTCAAATGCAAACATAACCATCATGTTTGGACCATCTCTCATTGTGACATTCACAGCATGTCGAACAAACATGACATCAGTAATGCACAATATTTCCATTAAAGAAATCATTCGAAAATGGAAAGACGTTGGTACTGCTGGTGATTGTTCCATCTAAATAAATAATGTGTGAGAAGAAAGCAATTATCAAAAAATTAATTAATTAAAATTAATTGAACAATGAAGATAAGTATTAAATAATTCAATAAATAATGTACCCATATCTAAAATTATAAATAAAACATATATATAAACTTACGAACTCTACTCGATCTTGACATAACCAATGAAATATTTTTAAAAACAATAAGGTTGTAAATGTTACAACAAATCTAGTGTCAAATTCATCCCGGAATATAGTCATGGCTAAACATGTTTCAGTTACTGCATACCAAGATCTTTCGTATAAATGCTGAAAAAATCAATTAATAAAAGTAAGTAAAGATTTTTTTACTAATAATTTTTTAACAATTAGAATTTCGGAATAAAAAAATACCTCAATTTCAACAGCACGTAAACGTCCGAAAAATATTGCTTGAAGTAATTGTCCGAATATGATCGTGAGGAAGAACCCCATGTTCATAAGGATCTATCACAAGTTTGTTAGAGAAGTTAGAAAGGTGCGAACCTGTAATCTATAAATCTTCATTCTGAACGTGATCATTATTAAGGTTTCTATGAGATATGAATGAGCTTATCAGGTACTTGGAACAGTTTGTTCAAGCGATTCAATTAATGACTTTTTTTTTAACAAGTTTACGCGAAAAAAATAATTGGACATACCATCATGCATGCACTGGATTTCGATAAATATATGCTTGCGGCATAAAAATTACTCCTTTGACGGAATGCAGCCGCAATAACTGATAAGGATAGAAGAGTACTAATACCACCATAAACTGCTAACCGAACCATTTTTTTTTTGAAGATCGATTTACCAAAGAATAAAAGAAAAAGAATGTTTTATAAAAATCGTGCCACGTATTTTAAAACCCAAATTATTGGCACAAGCCTTATAATAATAATAATATAATAAATCACAAGTTTCCGATTTAAATTTCGAAATTTAGTGTGATAATCACCTGATTTTTGTGATTTATGTTCTTAATGGGGTTAATGTTGTAAAAGATGTAGCATCATCCGCGTGGGTGGTTGACATAATTAATCCGTCATTATCATCGTTCTTTGAATTCTAAAAAAAGAAATTACGGTTGATATATAACTTGGTGATTATCACCTCCTAAGACTAATTATTTTCCTACAGATGAATCAATTAAATATTAATCATTTTTATAATTAAAGACAAAAGAATTAATCATGTGAAAATATTTGAAGTATAAAGTTGCAGTAATTCTTGTAATGGCGAAAATTCGAAATTTCATAGAATTTGGTGATGTATTTGTAAATTCACAGTTTCTTAAATATTTTGTCCAAATATTGTATTTCAATGTATCCCATGGATTGTCGGTTTTCACATGTTATATTGTTTTACGACAGATTAAGGGATAGATATTTTATATTTTTTTACTTGAAACATACAAGGTAAATTATATATATATATATTTTTAAATATATTTTTTTAATTAGTGTCTGCCCATTTCTGCAGAAGTATTTTTCCGTCCTGCACTGCCTACCCCGTTGTAACAATGGCCGGAGACACCATAAATTTTTTAAATACTGTCAAAATTATCATGTGGCTAATTTCTTGTCCTGTAGAAATTGCTATCGTAAGTGCTTAAGTGTTGCATTTTTATCAGTACCGTGTGTTGTCCATGTTTATTGCTGTCCTGTTACTCACTTCTTACGCGTTAATGAAAAGCATCACGAAGAAATCATAGAAAATCATTCAAATCATTTATAAGTATTAGACATATTAGGAAAGCGGATAGTATCTCATTTTTGCTATCTGTTGTGAAGCAGACGCTCACTTGAATTACGAAAGAACATTAACGCAACCCCACAATCATTGATCGAATAAAATATTTTATTTTAGTTTATTTTTATAATTTATGTTTATGTAATATACAAATAATATATTTTTTTTGTGAAATGAATTATATTACAGAATAAATTTGTAAAGATGATTTTTATGCAAATGAAAAATTTAAATATTCAAGTGTATCTGGTAAAATCAAGAACAGGCTCCAAACTTAATATCGTATTAGATTCCAATTGATTTTCGCCTGTATTAATTGTTATTGTCTGTTGTTTTTCATTACCAACATTTCCAGAATTGGTATTCGAATTATTTGTCGATTTGAATCGTTCTTTTAATCTCTTGATCTGCCTTAGACGATCTCTCCAATTTGTTACATATTCAACTTTTTTTGATCCGCCACTTTGTAGAAATACTTGTGAAAATATATTTGCATGTAATGCTATTGCTAAAACAAATGCTGATAAAGCTGAGGCCGATATCATTTTAAATTCCGTAATGGGTCCAATTTCTGGCATATCGGTACGACGTTGCATAGTAACTTTATAGAAAGTGTAAGTATTGTTTGTGGGTGAATTAAGAGGTTGTGAGAGGTGTCTTTGAGAATGTGGAGAAATTACAATATTGATATAATTGAAATGACTTGGTATCGTATCAAACTTATAATTGTGTCCAGATTCATTAAAAACAATTGTAACGAAATCATTTCCTATGTGACGTTTTTTTAAACTACAATGTGGATCATTATTTAAATTTGTTGGCATTAAAGTAGCACAATGAAATATAACTTGAGTAATATCATCCTCCCAATAATAAGCATATTCTCCATCTGAATCTAATTGTGTATCAAGACCTCCAGTATATATACGTTTACAATCTTTTAATCGTACTAAGCTTCCTAATTTATTCAAGAAATCAATGTAATCTTGTGAACCATGAATATTTGACAAAATTTCGATCTCAGTAGTTTGATCCTTCCCAACATATAATACGCCAATTTTGTGAAAGTCGACAACTTGAGCAAAATCCAACATTGAGAGTGCACGAGTCGTACTACCGTCATCTGGTAATGGTATGGGAACTTCCCTTGATAAGAGATAAGGATATGGAGCAAATTGAAGGAACAAAAAACTTGGATCGACATGTGGTTCGTCTTTACGATGTATATTGGCTTTTTCATTTAATAGATTAGGGGTAAAAATATCCTCCAAAACTTGTTGTTGACGAGTTGACAATTTTTGAACAGATGGTTCATTACCATTTTGCTGAATATCTCGTTGAACTTGTTGAACTTGTTGAACTTGTTGAACGTTGTTTATATTATTTGTCTCTATATTATTTACATTTTCATTATTTTCATTATTTTCATTCGATTTAATGGCAGTAGATTTGCCAGTGTATTTATCATTATTTTTTAAATCTTCGTTATTTGTTTTTAAATTACCTATGTTGTTTCTTGGGGATTCTCTAACTACATCTGAGGTTTCTGAATGTTGAGAAATTAAATTTTCGACAGTTTCAGGGAGTGATATAACGTTATATGAATCAGGATTATAATGTGTCATCAAGGTTGCAGAAAGTGTCACTGGATCAACATCTTCCAACTTAATATGACTTTCAAGCTTACATAAAAATGAAGCCTTTCCAGAAGGTCGACGGATTATAATTTCTGCCCATCCAAGTGATTTCATTGTTCGTATCGTCAATAATGCATTCCCTTGAATCCAGGTACGAGATTTAGCTTTATTATTCCCGTGTTCCAATAAAACTTGATTGATAAATGATTGTTCCGATTTGAGCACACAGTTTGAAAACGAAAAACGTGCCAACATGTCAAAGCACGTCTCGGTTTGTTCATCAACTTGTTGTGCACAATCATTCGCAACCAGGAGACCATGAATAATGAAAGGAACATATTTTGGACGATCCGAGAGTCGAAGGGACATAAACCAAATATATATAACATGATATGCCATCATCCTTTCATATTGGAACAAAGCATCTGTACTTTGAGCAGCATTCCCACTAGAACTTGACGATTTCTTTTCTGCATGACTATATTGGATATATTGCATCGCAATACCAAATACACGTTTAAAATCGGCCTCTGTGAAATTAACATACAAATCAGGAAGTCTAGCTAATCCGGAAAGGAATTCTAAAATATGAACACTCATTGTGGCAGATGTAATTATTTTTGATAAATAATTAATTATATCCGGAAGCATCTTTGTCGCTGAAAGTGGCAGCTCAAATAAACAAATATAGAGAGCATGCACACATGTTTTTGCACTATGTGTCCATTTTTGTAAACCGGCAAGGAAAGTCATTACAAGTTCGTCTCCTTGGGTTTTATTGAATAGATTATGATAGCTGATAAGAACAGTTAATGTTTGGTAAGCTACCACATATATATCAACTTTCTTTATATTAGATGGAAGCTGAACGCCTTCCGCCAATCGATTATTCTTGATCCAAAGACATAAGAACATTCTCAAATCCAGGATTTGTTTAGATGTGGCACAAAATAAATGTTGTTTACTTAATTGGGATGGAATATGATAAAGTACATAGGAATATATCTCCCAATCTTTTTCATTCGTGAGAATATCAGTGAGACATTTCGAATATTCGGCTAATGGTAACACGGTGAACTTTTGAGGATTCTCAGTGTATGAGTTAATAATCGAATTTTCACATTTATTAGGTTCGTCACAATCTAATTGGGAAGATCCGTAACTAAGGATATAAGGACTTGGACGAAGAGCAAATATTTCAAACTGTAAATTTTCAGGTATTTGCCATAGAAGTTCGTAAGTCTCTTTCAAACTACCCTTTCGCTCAATTTTCTCAATTTCCTTGACGAAATATATTCGGTGATCATTATCGGCTCTCATTCTAACCATAAATTGCAACAATGAAAGACGACAAACCACGGGAGCTGAAATATCTCCAAGAATTTTTATGATTTCCATGTAAACCTCAGTGCCTTGCTCTGAAGAATCTGATTTGTATAAAAGATGCTGAAATATAGTTATAAGACCTACAGTGGAAATAACATATTTGCATATTTCTGAATGGGAAGGTGAGTTTTGTTGATCAAAAACACAAATGCATTTGCAACATTGTGTAAGGATTTTAAATAAAGTAGAAAACCATCGCATTGGTGCTTCCTTAAGTGCAGTAATCAAAAAATCCATTAAGTAGGTTAATATATCTTTATCATTTTCTTCCGGTAACTTTGTAAGCATTGGCAAGATGACAGCTTCAATTAATTGATCTAAATAAATATCTTTCGTAATTTCATAAACGTCGATTGCCATTTTTAAAACTCTTCGACGAATTTTGAAAGTTGATTTCTTGATAAAGAATGTGTTAACTACATCTACTAACATTACAAGCCAATCTGGGGAAGAAGGATATAATGCATTCTCAGAATCATAATAGTCAAGAAGCATAATAATAGTATTTTCTGAAACATAATCTCTAAGTTTTTGAATAAGATCAATGAAACGTGAATCAGGACCTTCAAATGAAGAAGAAATGTGAAATGATTGAATTTGGAATATCAGTTTTCGATAAGAGATAATAAATTCTGAAACTTCAGTTAAATCAGTTAAATCTAAATTTATCTCTACCAAATCATCCAATATTTTCTTATCTAATCCATAAATGTCTTTATTCTCTATTAAATGATAACGAGTATTATCTAAAATATCTAATATTATTTCCCATTCTAAAGATGTAATTTTTTTTATATAATTTGTAACGAGATCATTAATTTTTGTCAAAATCTCTAAATGAACTTTAATATCTTTATAGTTCTTGGTTGCTTTATTCATTGCAGAAAGAACAATATAATAAGTATGTGATAGAGAATCAATCCTCTCGTTTCCCCATATTGCACATCCCAAAATCATAGCAGATCCTTGTAAAATTGTCGTTATTTCTGAAGTAACAACTTCAGAATTCTCTAAATTATTACATAAAATTTTGATAGTACTATACGCACAATGACTCTTTAAAAGATTATGAATTATGCGCCAACTGGTTTGTGAAACTTTATCATCTTGATTAATCGGATTAATCTTATAACAAAGTACCAGAACTTCTATATATGACTTTAAAGAATTTGTTGGTACATAACCAAAACGTAATACAATATCCCAAAAGTCAAGACAACATATTATATCTGAAACATTTTTTGATTTTTTACAAGCTATTGAAATATCTTCAATAAGTTTAATAATATCATTTTCTTCAAATTGTGCAAAATTAAATTTTACTACATTATTCAAAAGACTAACTACAGATTGTAACCTTGATGGAAAATTGGATTGAGATCTAAAATCTAATTTTATAATTTCTAATATGGATTCAATGTTAGGTATTGATGGGGATGATATTGGAATATTATTTGCTTCTTGTGAAGTTTCTTCTATATTATTATCTTCAAGATTTTGTACTGTTTCGTTGACCCATTTAGAGAGTAATTTCACTAAATTTTTTTCGAAAGATGAAATGTCTCTACCATCGTTACAGAGTTGTCTTAACGCTAATAATTTAATCTCAAAATCTTCAGGAATATTATGAGATTTTATACAATCATAAAATATTACTCTCAAAAAACCCAAATTGTCAACATGTTGACCTTTAATGCAAGAGATCATGAATTGAAATGCAACTGTCCTTGCTTCAACGGGTTTATCAGGTGAAAGTAATTCACTAATACAAGACCATATTTCTGTCATATCAGAGAATGCGTAATTCATTACAATTTCACATAGTACTCTGATTAATTTGATAAGTCCATCTAAAGGGTGAGGTTTTTTTAATTCCTGTACAAGTAATTTTTCATCTATTGGTTGACTATTGAACGTCCCGAAAGTTTCTTCCATAATTATAAATTTTGTATTGGACAAAACTAATCTAATCTATTAGTGAATACTGGGATTGCCAAATTTTTATGCAGAATGACATAATGACATAAAAGATCTTCGATAATGTGGACAATGTATAGTTTTTCCGCGGTAACTTTAGTGGGAACACGGAAGGTTTATTTTAGCGTTCTTTTCTGAGGGGGTATCTTAATTATATCCTAATTTAGTCTTATTAAAATATATTTTGGGCAAAAAGGTAAATTTTTAATGAAGTTTGGTATAACCTTTAATTGCTTTCAATGGATCTCAATGAATCAACCTTTACTGACAAATTTAATATTCACACTTACAAATTTTCAAATGATTGTAAATCGTACACCTTTAATAGCTTCGATGATCACTTCAATGAATTTTATATAAATTTGTGTTCTTTTCTCTCAAATTTTAATTTATAAATTTTTAAAACTTTATCGAAAATGACTGTAAGTATTTTTGACGAAATTGTTTCGAGAAACTTTTTTTTTTTTTAAAACCTGTTATTATTTTTTTAAAGGTATACAATTTTACTGTTGGAATGTCATGTGATGGTTGCGTTACGGCTGTAAAGGCGGCCTTAGCTTCTCTACCGGGTAAATAATTTCGAAATATAAAAATATAATTGTTAGAAATTGTAAGGATGTAATATATCCTAATTTTATTCGTTTTATTTTACAGGTACCGCTTGTTCTGTCAGTTTACCCGACCAAAGAGTCACTGTTGATTCTTCACTTCCTTATGATACTATTAAAGATGCTCTTGTGAGAACTGGAAAACCAGTTTCTTGAATAAAAGCTCAGCTATCATTGTAATATTTTTTCCTTACTGTTTATTACTCCGAAAATTTAAAATTTGTATTGACGTAATAATGATATAAAGGAATAGTAGTTGATGAAGAAATTATTACGTCATTACTTTGGCGTTAATTTCTAAATAAATACTCAAATTTCTCTATACCTTGTTGAAAGGATCAATTAATTGTTCAAATTTTAATATCAATAAAAAATCTATCGTTGAAAAATGAGCCTGACCGTAGCAATGTGTCGATTATTTGTTATTATTGCAAACATTTTGACAACGGTATTTAGATAACTTTTAATATTCCTATAAAATACAATGAAGTGTTAATAATTTGCTTGTCTAAAAATAAAAATAAAAATAAAGTGTTAATAAAAAAATGTTGCCTGAACCGTTAGATTTCCGGTTTGATTCTTATCGGTTTGGGTCTCTATGGGTTATTTTCTCCGGAAATGCGTTTCTATTCAAATGCATTTCCATTGGCAACTATCATACTTGGAATATTAGTATTCGTGATTTCTATAACTGGATGTTTGGGTGCAATCGCCGAGAATAGACCTACTTTGATTACTGTATCTTTTCATTTTATGTTTCGTTTAATCATTTTACTATTACCTTTTAACGTAAATCCTTAAAATTATTAGTACTTTATCGTTCTTTTGATTTTAGTTATTATACAAATAATTTTTGCCTTTGTTACCGTAATTGACATTCAAAATGTATTTTAATCATTTTTTTTTTTTTACGTTTTCATATTTCATATTCGTGAATTGTACATTAATGAATTTCTAATTATCTTAGATTGAAATAATTCTTGATAAATCTTGGGATAAAGCTTACAAAGAACATCCTTCAATCATTCGTGACATTGAGGACGAGGTAAATGTTAAACGTTTTGAGGAAATTTACATTTTTTGTAAAGAATCAAATTTAATAATTTATTATTTTTACCTTATAATATTTCAAAAGTATTCATGTTGTGGATTTAGAAACACTACTGATCGTGCAGTACCAAAAAGAAGCCCCGAAGCATGCATCAAAAGCCCATGGTATGGCTATGATCAACCCTGTTTGTCAAATTTGGAAAATTCCTATAAAAAACATCAAAGCACGATTTCTTTTTGGTTTATCACTTTGGCGATTATTCAGGTATTGAATTAATTACTTTATTTATTTGATTCATTTGATTTATTTGATTTTCGAATTAGACACTAATTTATCTTATCCGAAACAAATTTCCATATAAATAGATTCTCACGCTAATCTTTTCATACATTTTGATCACCTATTTGCCAACTCCTGAAGAACGAGAACGTGAATATCGTGCCGAACATGAAAGACTCGTTCGAAGTTATCGTGACGATTCGTCGGCTAAAACTCGTGATTCCCATAAATATGGGAGTACCTCCAGCGGAGAAGTATAAATTTTGAAGAAAGTAATGTGAATATTTTATTCACTGGATGGAATAATTTTTTTTAATTAAGGTGGGATGTTTGCACAAAATACTGTTCAATTCAATTCAAGCGTAAGGTTTCCAGTTTTATAGTATTTAGATTTAGTATATTAAATTTAATAAATAATAAATTTGGGTTGTGATGTGATTCAAAGATCCTTTTAAAAAAATATTAAAATAATTATCTTAAATGTTGTGCTATTTTCTTATATTTTCTATTAAAGTGTTGTATTTTTTTAAATATCTAAGTTATTATTTATAACTCTAACAATTGTTCTATGTCGAAGAAGAATGAAGAATTTTGACCAGCAAGTCCCATAAATTAGTGACCAATAATAACTCTAACCCTAAAAGAAGTTCTATTCATAATATTTTCATTTATTTCAAATTTTTCTTGAAGCTAATATTCTATATTGACCGTGACTCACTAATTACTTCGAATTTTCTACCACGATCATAACTTTATAGATGATCAAACATTACAATATCTGTTTTAATTGTTCATATATAAGAAATTTAGAGTACGATAACTTATCTAAACTTAATAATGCCGCCGAAGATCCCAGTTTTCCCGTGCTGAAGAAAAGGTGGGCTTGTGAATAAGTTTTAATTATTCTCTATATACATTATTAAATAGGAGGCATTAGAAAAAGAGGTTATAAGGCACTAACAAGATCGTGAGGCTGTTGAAAGTAGGGTCTCAAAAGGTAGATTTAATTTGAACAATGAAGAAATGTGTAAAAGATCCAGGATCAAATGGCAGAAGAATAGTAACTTCTATTTCAATTATTTTTAAAAAGACTATGCTGAGCGTGAGATTTCTTTTAACTTTTTGATCAATAAACATCTTATGATTAATATAAAGAAAAACAGAGCTAAACGGGCAGAACGGAAAAGATATAAAGTATTCGAATTTTTTACTTGTTTTACTTTGTTTATTTATTTCAATATTTTTAATTAAACACTATTTATAGAAAATTGAGAAACTTGAGGCGACTAAGGCAGTGGTAGAAGAAAAATAAGTAAAGAAAGGAAGGACAGTAAAGAGAAAGATAATAAAAAAAAAGAAAGAAGAGAGAATTAAAAAAAATGAAGAAAGAGAAACATTCAGAAAAAAAGTGAGAGAATAAAAAAGATAATTATTGAAGCAATTGAAAGAACAATAAAAGAACACTATTTGTAATTTTATTAATGACACAATGTCTCGCCGATCTATTTCAATTAATGATATAATGAAGAAATGTTTCTTAATTATTATCAAGCATCCTAAATTATTAAACACGTGTTATAAAAGTTTTTGTATATATATTACTTCCTGAAGTAATATTCAATCAGTTGACCAAAGAATAATGATGAAAATAACATTAAAAATAATGATAATAATAATAATACTGAAGAAGATGGGAATTTATAATTTGTTTAATTACCGATCCGCCTAAGATCGGCACTATCGTTATATTAAAATTCGGGGTGAAATTTAACAATGAGGATCCTTAACCTTGACCCCGGTCTAGGTTAAGATTCCCTAAATTAATTACAATTGTGCTCCGATTAAATCACATGTCTATTGTGTAATGTATTACATTTATATGTTCCTCTAACTAGTTTATGATAAAAATTACACAATAGTGCCGATCTTAGACGGATCAGTAATTAAATTAATTTCTTATTCAGAATTTGGTTTAGAGATAATGTTTAACAAATTTATTCTAATTGGTAACATGTACCATCAAAAGCATACTTTTGAGCCTTATGGCTCAAAAAAAATTATACAGTACAAAACCTTTAAGATAGAAACTTGGTTATAGTAAAATTGATAAACTTTTTTATATTAAAATTTTATTTTTCAAATATAGAATAAAAATTCTAACAGAAATTAATAGTTCAAAATATAAGTTTTCAAAATTACTGGTTAAAATTTTTGATCTTTATTAGGGTTGAAATCACATGTATTTAATTATACCTATTAAAATTGAGAATATATTAAAAATAATAAATCATTATTATTTTGATTAACAAAAGATTTCTATCATTTAAATATTATTAATAAAGGTTTTAAAAGTAATAAAAAATAATAAAATTTTAATAAATAAAAATTTTCAAATTCTTTTTTTTTTTTGTTATTGAAGTCAACTTTAAGGTTTCCTGCTGAAACCTGTAAGTTTTATCAATTGACAAATAAAACAATTAAAATTGTTTTATTAAATAATTATCAAAAACAAAAAATTGAAAAGATTTTTTAGTTAACAAAATTTTTGAAATTTTATTAAATTTTTATTATACATTGGTAAACTTTTTTAAGTGTAAATTTTGAAATATTACATAAATATTTTGAAAATTTATATTTAAAAAAATCTGTTTTTTGAATTTATTCATAATTTATATAACAGGAAGTAATTTTTTACTAAGGTATTTTTAAGATATATTGAAAGTTATAGTTCCTGAATACATATTGACATGTGTTTTATTTCTATAGTATCAATATTCATCAAAATATTCATATTTAAAAAATTTTACAAAAATTTTCAAAAATGTTTTTATAATATTTTGAAAATTTTCAAAAATCTCTATAAATGTTATAATATTATATAATATTACAAAATTTTATTTACAAATTTTTATAGAAATTTGACTTTAAATATAAATATCTCAATAAATATTGAAACTATAGGAATAAAACATATATTGATATATAATCAAAAACTAGTACTTTTAATTTATCATAAAAATACTTTAGTAAAAAATTACTTTCTATTATATAAATTATGAACAAAGTTAAAAATAAATTTTTTATTTTTTTATTTTTATTTTTTTTAATTCAAGTGAGGTCTTGCCTCAAATTTATTAATTAGAAAAAGAAAAAGTTTTTTACATTACATAAGATTACATAATACAAAATACATAACTTATTCTAATATTTATTTGAAAAGATGAGACTCGAACTAACTTATAAGAAACGGGCCTGCAACCTACCACCTGAAAAATAAATTTTTTATAAATGATATAATATTGTATAATATTATATCTAAAAAAATTTACTGATATATAATTAATTAATGATTTATTACTTAACTATATAATAATAATTAACTATAATTACCAAAATTTTATTTTAATAACTTAAAAATAAATACTTTATATATAATAATATATATATTTAAAAAAGTGATGTATTAATTATGAAATTTTAAATTTTCAATTTTAATATGTTATTTAATATTGAAATGAAAAAAAATTTTATAAATTTAAAAATTTTATAAAATTTAAAACTTTTAATTTTAATTTGTAAAATATTTTATATTTTTTAAAGTATTTTTTAATTTTAAGATTTTTAACTAATAATTTTATTAAACAAAAAATAATAATAAAATTTTATTATATCAGGAAATTTTTAGAAATAAAAATATTCAAATATTTTTGATTTAGAAAATTTGAATAAATTTATAAATTTATATAAATATATTTATATTTATTTGAATTTTTTTAATTCTAAATATATCTGAATATTTTTATTCAAATATATTTGAATAGTTTTAATTCAAATATATATAAATCACTAGTCAAAAATTTATAAATACTATATCTATCAAATAGTAATTTTGTTAAATATCAGATATTAATATCTTATATCAAATATTCAATATTTTACAGATATTCTACAGATAGATATATCAGATACCTATATTAGAAAATTTTAAAAATAAATTTATATAAATATATGTAAATATACATATTTAGATTTTTTTAATTCTAAATATATCTGAATATTTTTATTTCAGATATTTCAAATAGTTTCAATTTAAATATATATGAATATATACAAATATATTTAAAAATTATTCAAACAAATTTATAAGATATTTATATTAAAATTTTATTTTTAATATTTCAAAGTTATAATCTTTAATAAATTTTTAAATAAATAAAGATTTATTTTAGTTTTAAAAAAATCATTAGATAAAAAAACATTTATTTTATTTATTTAATTTTGCAAATTTATATATTTTATTTTATTAAGTTTACAAATTTATATTTTTACACTGGTCAAATTGTGAAAAATCAACACCTATCATATATTTATTGAGTATCTAATAGGTATGTAATAGGTATTTGATTTTTTATAAATTGTAATATATCAGGAATTCAATAAGTGAAGTGAGTGTGTTGAAGTTCTGACACATATCAGGTACATATTGAACAGATATTGAGTACATATCTAATTTCAATTTTTTGACATTTTTTTCAAATCTATTATACACTTATCAGATACTTAATTTTATTTATTTTTTATCAGACATATATTTTTAATATATCAATATAGTATATTGGGTATATATCAGCCACTGTATATTTCTCAATATCAGGTACTTTTTTTTACTATTGGATACTTATTGATAATTTTTATTTATATATTTTTACTTTTTTTATTATCGATAATCATATTTTTGTTTATTATTATAAAATATAAATGAAATATATTATTTATTAATAAAAAATGTAAAATGAAATATGTTGTTTATCCTAGTAGTCAAATTTTATTATTATATTTTTATCTTATTTATTTATTATTATTTTATCATTATGTATTAGTTTATCTTTTATTAGCTTAATTTCATATTTTTATTAGTATATATTATATAGGAAATTATTAATGTAAATCATTTAGAAATTGATATAACTATTAGGTATTACGACTGTAGATCTTAGTGTAATTAACAGTGTAGTATACAATGTAATTAATAGTGTAATCTATACATATTTTCAAAATTGATTTTGAATTTTTGAAGTATTTTGACTTTTTGAGATTTATACAGAATCTATTTTATATATGGAAGTAAAAAAAGTATCTAGTTATATATATCTTTAATCAAAGAATAAATCTGAGAAGTCAAAAAATTATGGATTTTAAGTAAAATAATTTCATCTTCTATAAAAAATTATTTTGACTTTTTTTCCTGAAATTGTAATTTCAAGACCTCAAAATAATTTTGCTGTTAGCTTGTTTCTTTCTCTTATTTTTATATATTATTTTATTCTTTATATGTATTATCATTTATATATTATATCT